CAATTCAATTCATCATGTGAAGATCTCACTAGTTGAGTTGAAGTACAACTTCCCATTTAAAATAAACCCTGATGAAGATCTCTGTTTAGTTTGAGTGGTGAATGTTTCGATTTGCTGCTTGAAGAACCGGGCAAAAAACCGGTCCAACGGAGTGCAGCGATTCCCAGGAGCAAGTGCCGCATGGACACGCAAAAACTGGTGGACAAGACCTGCAACTGGGCTGCTCGAAGTAAGTGACCAGTTGGTGAAAACCTAGGTTTAGTCTAGGTCAATCTTGCATGTGTAGAAACTTTTCCAAAATAGTCTTTTGGTATCAATGGGATTATCTACGTTCACCAGCCAAGAATTTGTCATTGTGTGCAAATCCATCCAGGTAGACATTTGTGAACATGGGGAGCATATAATGATAGATACATATAAACAGGGAAAATTAGAGGGATAAACAGATATATCTAATGTTTTTTTTTGTAATAAGAATAGTGACCCAGATAGATAACTGTTTTAAAAAGGGATAATTTTATGATTCACCAGTGGAATTAGGGATGACCCATGGATGACCCAATTTCAGCCATGAAGTATTTGGGATCGCTACAATAGGAGTTTCTTGTGCGTTCACCAACAGGAGCTCCACGGATACCAGAGCCATGACCACTGCTTATACTGCGCCGTTTGGTCAAGATGGTTGAGCCCAATCATTCGCCGTGGATGCTCCGAAGTTTCAGAAATCACATCACAGTTTGATTGGCTGCTGCAAGCGTTGTTTGACTGGCTGCATGTTCTAGTTTTGCACTAAATGTCCAACTTGGAGAGGCAACCTATGTTGATTATATATATATATATATGTATAATTCCACATGTTTAGGACACTGGTCAGAGTCCATGTTCCACGTTTTTCAAAATGGTGGTAGAAATACCCATCCGCTGAGCTCGGCGCTTTGGAACCGTTGGAGCTCACGAGCGAAAAAGGCAAGGATCCACTGAGGTAACAACTGCGGCACCATGGGCCACATCGCCAAGGACTGCCCCTCCCCTGCGCAATGCCATTGCTGCGGAGCTACTTGGTGATGGCTTGGGGGTTGGGGTTGGGGTTGGGAATAGCCCCAACTTAATCCAATTTATGGCATAAACATCGGGGGGACACATGGGAAAGGTTCAAAACGCATCAAATTGCTTCGAGCATATGATTTTGGGGATGGGGAAGGTTGAAGCTCCAAGATATTTGGGATGCCCAGTTGGAAGCAACGGCAGGATCATTGAAGGAAGTGGTCATATAATCAGATATTCATACGCTCAATTGGCCAGGTGTCTCACCATGTTTCACCAGATTTTTTGGGTGTCAAAGAACCGGGTAAGTGGGGAAAACTTGCACACTGAATCCACTTGTCCTATGGGCACCTCAGGGAATTCTATGAATTTCTCCATTTTTCCAGACTTGTCCTGAAAACTACAGTACATCTCAGCAAACCTGCAGGGTGTTTTCGAAGGATTTCAGCGTTTTTTTTTCAGGCCACGGTGCATGAAATTGCAGCCTGTCCTCATCGGGAAAAGACCTGTGAGAACTGTGGCAAGGCACCGGGGCTGCTGCGGGCGGAAACCACCGGGGCTGGTTTCGGAGTTTCGGACCCAGGATGGAGTGGGGCATGTTACTGGAGAAACTTTTGGGCGAACTTGGGTAAGGTATTGTGTAAGTTTATATAATTTCTATTAATTTCTTACTTTCATCTTTTGCTAGCTGTATTAGAACTGGCTGATCAGCTAAGCAGCTAAGCCAAGACTCTCTGTTTTTTTTGGGCATCTAAGACTGGCCATGGCCCTGCTTTCAGCATGTTTCAGCTCCAAATGAGTCCAAGAATGCCCGGGGAGAAAGTCGAAAGTGGTTGGGGAAAATGATCCAGGATTTGGCTTGGACCATGGACCCCTATCTCGTAGGAGTATTTGGGGTGCAGCAAGATCTGCAGGGGGGACATTTGAAGAAGAAGTGCAGACAGGCCGTGGGACAAGCTGCGAAGTCGGCGGGATTGTGGAGCCTAAAAATGCCTTGACAAATACTTGTTTTATGTCTTGACGGTTTGGATTTGATTTTGATGTGTGGAACATTGAAGACATCCATGTGGAAAAGCACCAGAATCCTATGGTTTATCATCATTTTCCGTGCTCATATTTGACAATTTTCAGACCCAATGTCGTCCCCCCAAAGACATGTCCCGCGGCGAGGATAAAGAGAATGAACCACCGCGAGGCAAGGGAAGCACCAAGGGCAAGGCGGGCGTTGGAACCACTGAATCCATTGGGAGATGGGGAAAATCCCATGGTCCAAACTGCGCCTTGGGGGTGCCAGGGCAAGGGCTTAGCGAAGACGTGCAAGAACTGTGGCGCCCTGGCGAAGAGGGGCATTGGATTCACCCAAGGCTCAGGAACTGATGTTTCGCCAAAAAATTGAATTACTGGTGGTTTCAGAAGGCTGGAGGCCTGGAATGGTTCCCATGCTGGGAGCGGAGACCATCCGTGTGATTTTTCAAGGTGTGCAGGGCCACCTGCTGCGTGATTGCCATGAACCTTCTCAATGTCATTGCGAGGACCTCAGAGGGGCTGGGATCAGGTGCTATTTGCGGATGAGAGTTCTGTTGATCGTTTTCCAGGACTGGTTGGTGGTTGGTGGTTTTATGTTTGTTTCCAGCCTTAAAAGTGATGATGATCCCGAATCCAAACCAAGTATTGGTGCTATTTGCTGATGGATTTTTCGTGCCAGTGAAACCGCCAACCGATGACCTCAGGCTGTGGATCGACGGTTCATGCAGTGGCAGAGTGCCCCAATCGAGAGAAAAGTTGTGAGCTTTGTGGCCTGGGCACCCAGTGTAGGTAATGAAACCATCCAGGATAGGCCATTCTTGGTTGCCCTCAGGTCTTGAAAACGCTCTTGTTTGAAATGTCATGATGTAGTCTGCAACAGCGAGTATCAGCTGCGATGGAAGGAACCCGTCACATTAGCCATGCAAAGTCCTTATTTTTGGTGTCAAAAGTCCAGTTTTCACCGATCAAGTGATCCACAAATTTCAAGAAGCACATTTTGATGTTTTCCTAGCCAAAATTTAGGATGTTCCCCATTTTCTATGGTCAACAAAAACACAAATATGTGTTGCTGTTGAACATCCAACAAAAATCATCAAAAATCTGCTGATCTCGAGAGCTGCTGAGGTAAAACCGGGCACCTGAAAAAGAAGTGCTACCAGAAGTGACGCCACCTGACACATCCTGACACCAAGGCGTTGTTTTGTTCTGGTCGTGGGATTTTCATGGATTTTCAACCAGACACTCGCCAGATTTTACCAGTTCGTTGATCCACAAAGAATTATGGATTTATCGAACCGGTCCGTTTTTGTTTTTCCAAGGGAAAAACCACATGTTTCCAGCCCTTTTTTGAAAGACCTGTGGCTTGAAAGTGGTGGAAATACACCCAGTGATCATAGTCTCAAACACCGCCACTACGTTGTTGTGCAAATCCCAGATTTTGACATGTGACATGCGCGCGACACGTTGCTAAGGGGCGGTTAATGGTTGTAAAGGGGTGCGTAATAGAACCCCCCTTAAAGCCGAATGTCATGCCGGCACGCACTGACACGTGACATAAAATTACGCACTAGCTGGCAGGCTTCCCATTGTTTGAATCGGCTTGACAATTCAATGGGATCCCTGAACCATGTCCCAATTTGAAAATCAGTCAGATTCTAAGGGGTGCTTAATGGTGACCCATGCTAAGGCGCCTAGTGGACCCCCTTAGAGGTTTCTGGTATGAAAACATTTGATTCAACTGATTCAACCCACTGAGAATTTGCGCTACGAAAATAGGATTTCGACATTGGAAAAACACCTTTTGTATTTTTCAGACTCCTGGGGGTAAAACGAATCGTCTAAATGGATTGGCTGGTCGTTGACCAGGAGGCAGTAAAACATAGTAAAACTAGACCCTGAAAGTAACTGGCCTGCACACTTAATGAAACCAAATAGTTCTTACTTTTTGATGTTGTGCAGTCATGACTTTCGGTGCCCAGGTGACTTTATGGCCTGAGGGTTTGGCGCCTCACTACGCGAAGGTGGCTGAAGGTTGGCTGGAGTTTTGTGCTCTTTTGGCCGATCTTTCAGTCTCCTACAGCAAGATATGCCTAACACAGGACTTGCTGATGTTTTTCATTAGATCGTTCCCTAAGGCCCCTGTGAAGATTGGAACAGATCTTCGCTGGGCCCGACCGAATATGTTCCAGTTTGAATCCGGGCCGCGCGCGTCGCAATTGGCCCCAGGTCGCAGTTGTGGAACTGAACTTACTCCCGGTATCTATCCTTGCAGAGATTTTTGATGCAACTCTTTGAAAGGTGACCCTGCATTTTTTTTTCAAGTTGAGTCCTCAGGTTGTAAGTTTGCCATCATGCATCCATAGGGCTGTTCATATTTGGACCCTTGGAGCAAGTTCAGAGTGAACCCTGGACCAGTTCTCGGATTTTCTCGACTTTGGAGGAAAAAAGATGGTGATTTCATGGCCAAACATATGGATGGATTGCACCCTGAATGTGTAATCAAAATGAATCATCTCACATCCAGCAGCTTGTAGAGAAAAATGCAACGTGGCCGAATTCTGTGAACTATTTCTGGTTGGTGGTTTGGAACATGATTTCTTTTTTTCCATATATCGGAAATGTCATCATCCCAACTGACGAACTCATATTTTTCAGATGGGTAGGTCAACCACCAACCACTCCCGTTGTGTGGCTTCCGTTGCTCCCGTTGGGATGCACCCGTTGGGAGCACCGTTGCAGTTTTAAGTCTTTGGCAACCGTTGGCAAAGTAGCGGCACACACCGCTATATGATTATTGATGATTATTGCAATATCAAAAAGTACAATACACATAGAATCATATTACATACATCATATCAGGAGTTCCGTTTTTTTTTTTGCGGTACTATCTAGTACAAGAAGCCATACCGCCGATGATGACAGTTTCGCAGGAGAGGCGATTGAAGCTGGACTTGCTGTTGTGAGGCTCCCAGCAGGATTCAACCAGAAGGGGCAACAAACCGGCTCTTCAGAATCGGAGTTGAAGGGTTTCACCAAAAATAAGAGGTAAATACCAGCAGGAAAGTGGCTCATATAATCATGTTTAACATTGTTTAACCATGACACAATATGTTAATTTTCAAGCTCCATCGTTTTAAGGTGAACAAAGAAATAGCATTGCCCTGTTGGAATGCTTTTTGTCAACTGACGGCAGGTGTGGGGCACAACCACTTCTGAAGCCTTTATTTCCATACGAGGGTTGTTTTGGTACATGTTGCCATTTGAGCACCACTGCATGCCTCAAAGCATGAGACTCTTTCATATGAGAGTTGTTCTAGGTTGCCTTCAGTTGTTGCACACATTCATGGGGTAGGCACCACATACTCCAGAACTATCAATTGAAATAAGGCCTGACAGATCGCCATCTATACCTATGCAGTCCACTGTTTGCAGGAAAAAACTGAGACCAACATTCAGTCTACTTCATCGGATTTGCTACTCGCAGTTTTCCCAACAAAAAATCAATAGCTGCTGTTTCTGCGTCTTCATCTCCTCGTTCATGTTGGCGATTCCTTGGCTTTTACCCATCCCCACTTTGACATCAACATGCTTTGAATGTCATCTGGAATGCTGGGTAAACCTTAGATAGGCAGCACAAAATTGATGTACAAAAACCGGACCATGTTTTTCAAGGTATCCAACAGTTAGGGAATGAATGATGCTTGTTTGCGGCCACTTGATCTTCTACCTTTTAAAAGGGGTCCTCAAACAGATGCCTTTCAACGTGTTTCATGACTTGCGAACTATAGTGACATATAGTGACTATATTTCCCAAGTGAGAATTCCCCAATTATATCCTCATGATGTCCCCATTTTTTCCATGTTTCACCGTAAGAAACCTGAGGCAGAAGGCGCTTGGACGAAGCAAAGGGTTGACCTTTGGAGCCTGGAAGAGCCATGCTGGGAGCCATGGAAAAGCCATGGAAAATCCAGAAGTGATAATGATACAGTACGAACCAGAGCTAGAAATGGGGTACCCTCTGGTAATTTAACATAGCTATTGAAAATACGTGAAAATACCCCATTTATAATTGATTTACCTATTCAAAATGGTGATTTTCTATAGCTATGTTAGTTTACCAGAGTGTAGGTGGGATTGACCCCCATGACAAGATATGACGAGTATGTACAGTCCACCTGGGCGACGTCGGCAGGGCATTCGCCATGTAGCAATGGTGAAGGACCCCCCTAAACGGCTTCCCATGGCGAGGTCAATTGTTTTTCATGGTCGATTTTTATCGATTTTTGGGCTGATGTTTTGCACTTGAAGCATGTTGAAGTGTATCATCATGGGAACAATTAAGGGAAGCTATTGTTAATGGGAAGCTTCTAGCCAATGTCGGCCTAATGGTAAAATGCTGGCATCGATCCGCAATTGATCATCCCGCAGCACCGAAGCGGCCGGCCCTTGAGGTAGCTCTGTTGCGGCAGGCACTGGTTGTAGACTCAGCGGAGAGGAGAGTCCTAGGACCAGCAGGGCAAGGTGATGCTAGGTGAACATCCTATCACATCCTAATTATCACATCCTATCACATCCTTACATTCACATGAATTTTGCCAGGTCTTTTCACAAAAATCTGTGAATCGTCAAGACGTGCAAGAACGGTAAGGTTCAATCTGACGATCTAAGGCGCAGCAACGGCGCAGCGTGTTGGCCGCAGTTTGCCCGTCATGTTGGGGCAGTGATGGCAGGGAGCAGCAACAGACTGGATGAACATCAGAAAGTGACTCGGAAATCTGGATGTTGAATGTTATATAATTATATATATACATGATATATATCTATATAATTACACATAATACATTATCATATTGTTTTTCTGCTATGTATTGTTTTCTCCCCCACTATGACCAGGGTAGGATTTTTTCGCTATTTGAATGTCCGAGGATTCACCGTTTTCAATCCTTCCAACATCTTCCAACCATGCTATTTGTTTTGGTACAAGTATGATGTACTGCACATGAGTGCCAGATGCATCTGAAACGTCGGATCTCATTGGAATGGTCATAGCGCAGGATGCTCATGTCTGTTTTTGTGAGGACTTGTTTAAGTCTACTGGTTTATAATCCATCCGTGAGATTCCTTGTCCAACTCTGATCCTAGCGATTTTTTGCAAGGCTTAGGATGTTGCAACAACTCTTACCCAAACTGTTCCATTCAAATTCCATTCCAAAACCGCAAGTCATGGTGGATTCCCAGAAGTTCTTTGGCCAGGCCTTTAGTCTGTGGAAAGAACAAGGTGCTGAAGCCCTGAAAGAAGAGTTCAACGACCTTTGGCTGAAGGCTGGTCTGGTCAACTCTGGCACATGTTCAAAACAGCCGTTTGTTATCATGGTTCTCAGATGCAAAATTGAATCACCATGGGGTTTCTGACTGCTTCTTGTTTACTGTAGAAAAAGGAACCCAAGTCTGAGAGCCCCCTGGGCCCCTGCCTGTATTGTCAGACGATTGACTCATAGGCAGTGCTGCTGGCCGCCAGACCCTTGAAATCAGAGGACCAGAGCCGTTGGACCGTTGGAGGGTGAAACCTAAGGATGCATGTGGAAAGTCTTGACAGAAAAAAAAGAGACATGTCTAGGAGATGGTGGGTGGGCCCCTCCCGAAGATTTCCTTGGAATTTTTGAAACTGAGTCTTCCAGGTAGCGAAGGGCATCAGACAATTCTTGTGTGACTGTTTTCGATTTCACCGGCACCATGATGTGTTTTTCCCTCCTTTTCACGGGTGTGGTCGCAGTAGCGGGTTTGTCCGAAAATCATATACTTCCTTGAAGTTCATACCCCATTTTAGCATTGAGATATGTTTGAAATAAGATTTGTATATATACAGATTTGGACAACCTCAAGGAGTTGGCGGGGAACCACGGCTCACAGTTGCGGCTCACAGCGTCAGGACTTGGCTCGATTCCGAGGTGGCGAGTCAGCGACTTCCGGATGACCGGAGACCTCCGGAGACCGGAAATTTCACCCCTGGGGACAGCTGCGATGTCGACCTGGTGGCAGCTTAATTCAGCAGACGCTGGATGGGGACATGGGCAAAATGAGCGACGCTTTACGCTGAAAGTGGGACGGACGGAAACACTGAAAGTGGCACAGAAGCAGAACGTGTCTCGAAGTTGGCAAAGTCCTTTTTATTTATTTTTGATCAGCCAACTGTTTGTAGGACTGTAGCTAGGTTTGAGGTACTGTACACTGGATTTTTCTCATGCAATGCGTGTGCTTTTTCCGACCGCGCATTCGCGGGGCTTTTCTTGGGCTCCTTACTTCGATCACAGCCAGAAGTATGGAACATGTTGCATCAAGTTGACAGGCAATTCTGGCTTCTCCTGTTGGTAAAAGGTTCCTTGAATTCCTTGAATTTGGGTTGGGTTCGAAAAAGACATGCCTATGTCACTCAGATGCTCCGACAGGGTCGTTTTTTGTATATTCCTGGTGGGGTTTGAAAACGTCCTATGTCTGGTTCAACCTTTCCAATGGAAAAGCTCAACATATACCCTTGGGACCTTTGGCTCACAAGCTTGCTGTAAGAACCTTGCAACCTTGGCATAGAGAGTTATATTCACACCCTGAAATCATATCAATCCAACTGTCGATTTGCAGAAACTTCATGACTTCACTTTTGAAAGGTCCAATAGCATGGTTGTGCGGCTGGGGAAGGGCTGGATCCCAAACCTGAACTGGAGAGAGCACGCTCTTCATACAAGCACACTTAAAACACACTCAGACCTTAAACCTCTCCAGTTTTTGAAGATTTTCATGACCAAAGAAACTCTTCAGACTCTTCAGCCCTCTAAACCTTGAGGTGGGTTGAGGTTCCAGTTTCCAGCCATTTCCGCATTTCCTCCAAAACTTCCAGCCGCACGACATGCCTACGCCCCGGCGAACGACTTAGCGGCACGTCATGGCGTCGCCGAATCAGCCCAGCGGTGCAAGTGCGGAGCCCAACAGCGATGACCACGGGAAGAAGGAGAAGGCCTCGAACTTGGCTTCACTATGCTTCACTAAAGGATGAATTTGAGTTATCCATATAGTTATCCCAAGTTATTGCTACCTTGTGTGTATATATATAATATAAATTATATAATGTGTTTATCATTGTTTATCTCTCGACACCCACTTACTTTTGATCACATGTTTTTGGATCTTTTCCCGCCAGGCCGAGACGCCCGGTGAGGGCCATGGCCTCTTCCACGCGCAGCGGCTGCGCGACATGGCGGCGGAGCTGCGACATATCCACGACATCACCGCGGAGCTGCCCACCTTCCACGACGTGGCAACGGAGCTTTCCAGTAAGGCATTGGTGGGTGGTGGGGTGGTGGTTGGGGTTGGACACCATTGACACCATCTATTTTTTTGATGTAGCATGGATCATTAACAACTCCAATATGGCTTCAGGAACTAGCAATTATCATCTTAAGTTCATCAATTGTAATAAGACTTATATAACTTATATATAGTTCATATCGTGAGATGGTCAGATGGGGTGTGGATGATCTTTTTTTATCGTGCTTGCCCCATCATCTGCCGAGGCCACGGAGCTCTCCGCCAAGGCCCAGGCCACGGCCACGGAGCTCTCCGCCAAGGCGCAGCAGACGGCCACGGAGCTGTCCGCCAAGGCCCAGGCCACGGCCACCGAACTGTCGGCCAGGGCGCAGGCTACGGCCACCGAGCTCTCTGCCAAGGCGGGGGGGTTGGGGAAGGAGGTACCTTTGTTCCACTTGTTTCATATCTTGTTTCCATCTTTTGTCCATCTTTTTCGGAGGCGTTTTTCAGTAGAATAAAACTGAATCATGCGATGAAATGTGGTGAATTTTGGAGGAAGATATGACAAAAATTGATGGACGGTTCATAATTGTAGAAGGTTGTTGCCACTTTGGGAGTTCTGTTTTCCAAAATGCAGGAATTTTCCCGAATGCACCCAAAAATTGTGGTTTCAGTTTGTACAGCTGTAGCTTCAAATTCTTCCCAGGCTCATGAGCTGTCTGACTCGATCTTCAATCACATGTTTCGCTATGAGTCTGCGGTGCAAGCCAGACGGAGAGCCTTGATGCTGGTGGATGTGCTCGTGGTGTCTGGGCAAGACTCGGCAGGCCAAAAAATGGTGGATGGGTCAGACCTAAAAATTGCCCAAAAGGTGTAGTATTTTCATGGTACTGTGGGTAAAACAATAATAAAGCATCCATTTGGGAATGGTTTATACCACCTATAAAAATGGTGGATTTGTTGATGGTTTATGACATTGTTTTCCTACAGACCATCAACAACGACTCCTAAGCAAAACTTAGATCTTAGATTGGGCGAAGAATGCATTCTGAACGCATTCCTGTGGAAATGCATCCATCTTGGGTTTCCCTTAGGTAGATGGGATTGATTTAACAACCATGAAAAAGCTTCAACTTTGGGTCTTTTCCCCAAGCCTGAAAAATCAATGAAAACACTGTGCCAAAGCAATGTTGCATTTTCTTGAAGGAATGCCCCACAATGTTTAAGAAATGTATCACTCTTGTCAGTGAAACATTGCAAAAAAGTAATGCTACACTACAACTCTTTTCGAAATATATATTGTTTCCAGTGAATACTGCATAGACTAAGAGAGCTTTCTTATTGAAGTAGTTCTGTGCCCTTTCAGGTCACTTTTCTTCAGAAGGGGCTCTGTCAATCTCACAGAGGTAGCATTTGTAAGTTGTTTGTTTAAGCAAAGACGGCTCACATTTGTTCATTTCAAGTATACACAATTACTGTCAACAAATGAGTGCATACTTACTCTAGAAAGCACAATTTCTAATGTAGCAGTACTTGTGCCACATGTGCAACATTTTCTTTTAAACTTCCAGCTTGTTTTTCAACAAATATAGTGTCACTTAGAGAAAAACATGTATGTTCTTCAAAGCAATGGCTACATTTCTGAAGATAGTCTTATTTCATTTGAAGAGATACTGCATTTGATTGAAAGATGCCTTGTATGTTGGACTTTTTGTGCAACGTGTTTCTTCCTTCCAGAAGTATTGTACCTAGTACGTTATGAAATGGGTCTGTGAATTAAGGAAGGCATATTTACATGTTGGAAAAAAACACTACCTGATCGAAATGAAGAGATATATTTTCAAGAGAAGTGGCTTTCTGCACAGGAATGCTACCTATTGAAAAGGAATATGTACTCCTTTTGCTTAAGGAATGCCACACCCTTTGAATGAAAGTGTCTGTTTGTAAAGCCTGCTCTTGTCAATTAGAATTGGTTCTTCAAGAGAAGGATGCATGTGTGATCGTCTCTTGTAGTCATTTACAGTGTTTTCACTGCCTCTTTCAGGTTTGGGGAAAAGACCCACAGTTGATTTTTTTTTTCATGTGGGTTGAATCACTACTTAAGCGAAGCTTTGCAGGGAGGTGGACGTACTAGGAGGTACGTAAATTATACTTAAGACATAGTTTGGAAGGGGTAAGAACTAAGAGGTCCTAGGACCTCCTAAGACCCACACATCCAAAGTATTGAGCCACTGCAGTAGTACAACAAGAGACAGAAGCTACATAGTAAGGAAAAAAGGCCAAAGACATATCTACCATATTGATCATCCAATAATATGTCTGCAAGATCTGAAGGTCTACAAAATCCAAAATTCATGTGTCACAAGAAGGCCACAGCTCCGTGCGCATTCTGTCAATGTTTGAATTGAACGTCCTTGTTGGGAGCCCAATACGGTAGTCAAAAACGCTGCAAATACCATCAACATATGTCATTGTATCTACACATGAAGCATCATAACTCATCACTCAAGCATCCAAAGTCTTCAAATGAATGAAAGAATGCTGGTTGTTTTTGATGGCAAAAACAAAAAAATCAAAAAACACTGTACAATTATTTAAGAAATCAAAACCAGTAGGTTTCAGGAGGGGTTAACCATTTGCCAAAAATAGTTGACAGAAGCTTTGTCCCAGTGACTGATCATTCGTGTGGATCTAGTGGGTTTTCCTGATCCCAGGAACGCCCTTGCGCGGGGCGCCTGAAACGCCGCTGGGTGTTACTGGCCACCTGCGTGACCTTTTGTTATCTGCGCTACGTGCTGCCGGTGCTCACCTGTTGGGGTTCCAGACATTGGGAGCAGACGCCTGGGCAAGCGATAGCTGATACCAAGCAAAGGTTTGAGATGTGGTTGATATTCTGCATGTGAATATGATTGTCTATATATAATCCCATGTAAAATGAACCAGCGTGTTACTTCAAGTGCACACACACATACACACATCCTGAGGGAATCTGTCAAGCAGGATCAGCACCTGTGTTGCTGGCCCCTTTTCCCATTCCTCTCAGGAGCGTGGACGCCAGCGAGTTTGAGGAAACGGTGGGAGGTGCGGTGCCAATGGCATGTATCCACCATTTTCAGACCCAGCTACCATATTGTTGCTGATCTCCCAGTATATTCCCATGATGTCCCCATTTTTCATGGTTACCCTCCAGTAAATTGACATAGACCCTGCCAGGAAGAGGTTGGAAGATGAGTTTTCAGTCTGTTTTCAGGAAAACCTGGTGATTTTCAGGGTCTATGTTAGTGATGTTAATTATGTTACTCGTAATTTGCCAGAGGGTAAAACCTATAAATCAAATGCTTCATGGTGAAATCCTATATGGAGGCCATAACTCCCACGTGAGCTTTGCCGTCCTCTTCCTGGTATCCATTGGTGCCCTGGCAGAAGCTGAGGATGATGGGTTGGTATATGCTTGGTACTGGTATGTGGTTGGGATATGGTTGATATAGTTGGTATATGATGATCATGATGATTTAATCTGATGATTTCTGATGATTTCTGATGATGTCTGATAATTTCTTATTCGATGATGTCTCATGATTCCTGATGCAAAGTGCAAACCGTGGCATTTGTTCTTTTTTTCCAGGCTTCAGTTTCCAGCCAAGGCGACAGTCCAAATAGATTTCAACCGCTTGTCCTTCGTTGAAAATCCACGTCTGCATGCTCCGCAAAAAAGGTTACCTTTCGATGCTCCATTGCTCGGCACGATTGATGGAGGCAAGTTATGACTCCAATGCAAAAACCTGGCTTTCGACGGTTGCTGACTCGTTTTCTGGTGGTGTTAAAAGACCGTTTTTTTGTTATGTTTTTTGGGATATGGGAAGACCTGATTCTGGATTCTGGACATATGAAATATTCCCATGCACCTCTTTGCCACAAGGAAAAACTCTCACCTTGCCATCCACCATCGAAGACAGCATTCGCCAGGCGAGGTTGCCGATTCAGAGCAGTATTTTTGAGATGCTGGTGGTGTACAACATGACCCAGATGCTCTTCAATGCCTTTGTCAGCAGTCAACTTCTACGCGAAGCTTGGGCGTGGCTGGGATCAAGTGATCGGAAGCCGATGGAGCATGAGAACATTTTTGTGAACATATATGAACATATTTATAATGGGGTGCCCAAAAAAGTGAGAATTTCATCTCTACCAATCCTCATGGTGATTTGATTTGCTTCTCTTTTGGGTGACCCCTTATACATAAAATCTACTGGGGGGAATTGTCAGACCTTTGTTGAGCTAAGATCATAATGGGTCTCCGGAATCTTGCATGACATTTGGTCATTTGTTGACTCAAAAGTCAGAAGATAGCATAACTGTTGATTCCTTCCCCCGTGTTTGGTAAATACCTTCCTAGAAACCCTGGCTTCGCATGGTATTTCAATTTCGTTCAATGTATGAATCATACATATATCATCACATAATATTATATATATATATATCCAACCATAATATAGACAGTACAGTATATATCATATATATACATGGTGGTTTGGAACATTTTTTCCATATAGTGGGAATGTCATCATCCCAACTGACGAACTCCATCATTTTTCAGAGGGGTAGGTATACCACCAATCAGGTATATATATATATATATACAGTATATAGTAGATATATCATGATCTATCCCATTATAATGAATATTAATGGATATTAGATTGGCCATAAATCTAGGGATTTATATCATATATAAAATACCAGATATATACACAGTGTATGTATATATATATATAATATATACATGTACATACACATATTTTTCACAATATAAGGGTGGATCTCTCCACGATCTGGATTGTACGACGTCGCCAAGGCAAGGCTTCAAAAGACCCTGGGGAAATGTCTTCACCTACACGAAGGCGGCTGATCGGGAGGTTGAACTCAACCAAGAGATTCATGGGTTCTTAATGGATAATGGCTATGGATATATGGATATATCATATGGATATATAATGATATATATATATATGGATAATAGTTGCCTGGATATATAATATGGATAATCTCTTGGTTGATATATCTAAGATTATTTTTGTTAACATTTACCAACTACCCTGAAATCTAAATGATAGAGGATATAGATCACCATTAATAACGGTTAAAAGAGATCATATGGATAAGAGCTTTGGATAAACTTGGGAAATTTGATGGGGATATCTTGCCTGGGATCACACGTCCCAGGCTTGCTCCAACCTTATTTTTTAGGTCAATGATAGACACAAAGGGGGAATGGGTCGTTTTATCTCTATGTCATCTATATTTACCAGGTGTTTACCCCTTGTATCAGGGGTTTCGGAAGCAACCCTGGATATCCCTGGGTTCGCACCAAGATGGAAAGTGGTCATTTCTATAGGGAAAATGATGATAAGCAAACCATGGATTTTCCGGTATCCTATTCTCAGACAAACCCACATTGTTTTGGTTTTTGCCAACCAAAACTGATGGTCTCACCAGAAAAGACCACGATGGATTTTGACCTAAATGAACCAAGGAAAGCCACCGCTTGGGCTACTTCATCTGGCTGCACTACCACGGCTGCCAACTGGAACTGCTTGACACGTCCCTGGCCTGGGCTGCTGTGGATGTGATGACTTGATTGGGCTGTAATAAACCTATAGGATCCTAGAGGTTTGTCTTAAAATTGGGGGATTTACCTTGATTTACCCCCAAGATATGGCAAGTTTAATACAGATAATGAAAGTCAATGGGGTTGCGGGTGTCCTATGTTCAGACAAACACATCTTTGGGTCAAAATCGATGATTCGCCATACAATTGACGAAACAGTGTGGAACATAGAACTTTCCATGAAACATGCATCAGTCTTGTGGTTGATACCCTGGCCCTGAGCAAAGGTGACTGTGTTTGCAATGGACATCAGTTCGAACATCCCATCCACGACTGTGTGGACACGGGCATGTATCATTGCAGGATATTGCAAGAGCAGTTTTGTGTTAGAAATGGATTGGTATATCCATTAGATTCTATTTCATATATCCTATATATATATACATGTATATGTATATACAAAATTATACAAATATATATAATTGTATATATATATATGTGTAAATATATATATATATAGAGATTGTAATATCAACCTCAGTGGGCATGTCTGAGGCTTTTTATAGTCATTCGCAAGCCTCTTGGCTGAGACGAAGGGGGCCGCTCTCGAGATCTCTCGAGTGGTGCTGCTTTCATTTGCTGGAACTCCACACATCCCCCACATCATCAACAATGGTCTGGTGGTTTCCTCCCCAATGACCCTCTGGTTATTTGTTGCAGTTTGCCATGGAAAGATCCACCCATTTTTCAGAACGGTAAACCATCTATTTCTATGGGCCATTTATATCATGGCTCTGTTAAATACCCAGAGGGTACCTTAATTGTTTTTTTTCACATTAAATAGGACAAATCATCGGAAAATCGAATCTCGAAATGCTGAAATGCCGATTTTTTTAATGTTTTTTTTCTTCTTTGAAATGCCGAAATGCCCCATGCTTGCAGAAATGTATCTGGGGGCTGGATATCTCGATGGACCCAGGAAGTTCCAAAAGATCACCTTCCTCCATGTCTGGTGGGCGCCTCAGATCCGATCCCTTGAAAATGGCATGGAACATGGCATGGAACATGGGATGGAATGGGGTTCTCAATTTTTGATATCCACATATATATATATATAATTATATATATATATATCCAGATAAATTATCCGGTCCACCAAGGCTCTACCAGCCTTTCTGAGGGTTCCTACTCAACTGCCAGCTCGAAAAACCCGCCATAGCTGGTTTCTGAATCAGGCTGCGACTGCTGAACATGTGGGGCTGGTTTTTCGCTTGCCGCTACGCGTGCGGCGGCGACACCTATTTTCCCGCCTCCGTCAATGCTGCCACCCGTGCGGTCACTGGGTTCCGCAACGCAGAGGTGTCAAGAAAGATCTGAAGATAACACCCAGTTTCTCAAAAACACTGGCCATGGAGCAGAAATCATCTGGCAGCTCTGGTCATTTAACAGTTTCCAGCATAGTTTCCACATAAAAATATATAAAAATCATTCAAAATCACCATCTTTAGATCCACCTCGTTTGAAGAGGTAAATCATCGAAGCAAACGAGCCATGGCTTCCATCCATGACCTCAGGCCTTGGAGAAAACCAGCTGGATCATCCTGCTGTCACTGAGGATTAAAAAAGATGATGGCGGTGCCGTTTCAAAACCATCGAATCATCATTTTATTTCAGCATAAATCAGCATAACTTGCTATCATTCATCATAAGTTTTATCATTACATCATCAGCAAGTGCCATAAATTCATCATATATTGCTATAAATCTATCATAACCTGTAATTTCATCATCTCCCTCATCTCAGGTGGTCTACGCTTTTTATAGTTGGTCCTTGCTGACGGACCTGGGAGTTCCGCTGGTGCAGAAGGCGCACATCACGGAGCTCCAGATGTTTCAGCTGCTCGGCGATGTTTCGCATGATCGAGCGATGTGCAGGGGGATGTCATGGGATTCACTCAGAACATGCTACATATACCCTCTGGTTATTTAACATAGCCATGGAAAATGGTCCATTTATAGATGGTTTACCTATTAAAAATCGTGATTTTCCATGGCTATGTTAAATAACCAGATGGTAATTACTTAGTAGATATTGGACTAACCATTGGACTAACCATATAATCTGGGACATGTCATCATCCCAACTGACGAAGCCCATGATTTTTCAGAGGGGTAGGTATACCACCAACCAGTGATTATATAGTAGATATATCATGATCTAATCTATCATTATATAATGAATATTAATGGATATTAGATTGGCCATAAATCTAGGGATTTATATCATATATAGAATACCAGATATGATATGTAGAAAATACCGTATATCTGGGTTAATTATTGACATGAAAAACCCTCCCAGAAGCACAGAGTGAGCGTTGAATAGCGGTCGATCCTGTCATACCCTCAATGAGGCTGATATTTATGGTAAATATTATATTATAAACCCAATATTAAACACACTATTATATATATATATACATATATATATACATATATATATATATATATACATATATATATATATATATTTGAATATCACCCTTGGGTAAACGTTTTACGTAGATGTGGAAAACCCCTTCAGGGGAAACCCCTGGGGAACCCGTGAAAATGATCTACGTGGAAAATGGTGGATTTTCCACATCGAAGTGTTAGCGTTCGGTCCCTAAGGTAGATATATTAAATATATCCCAATAAAGTGGATTTCATGTAGATATACCATGATATAAGTACCAGGACCAGGAAGAAATTAGGGATCTGATGCGATTGGTGGAATAACATTTCAGGATATCACGGGATACAACAAATGTTTCCGAATCGGTGTGCCTGAAGAATGGAACATATACCACCATTTTATGATATTTGGCTGCGATTTCAATAAGTGTCCGTTCAAAATATGAAAAAAAACTGCAAGGCATCCACTGAGCTAAAGATTCAGGAATTTGATATCATATACTTGGGAAACTAATTAGGACAATAACAGTATGATGATTTTAAACCAGCTTCAGCACTATATCACTATTTCTATTAGGATTAACCACCAACAATGGGGACATAACCAACAACATGATGATGTAACCAACTATCAATAGATTGATTTGAGCGAACATTTACAGGAATCCCGATATCGACAGTTGATAGAAGAAACATGAAACATGATGGAATATTCACCCCGCTTCGCGTGGGGTGGCCGCCCACACCGCAGGTTTATTTCGGTCCGTGAGAGGCTAAGGGTGGTTTTCCCCCGTGGGGGCTCCCCAAGCTAAAAATTTTCACTTTCCCCCCCCGTGGGGGCTCCCCAAGCTAGGGAATTTTCACTTTTCCCCCCCGTGGGGGCTCCCCAAGCTAGGGAATTTTCACTTTTCCCCCCCTGTGGGGGCTCCCCAAGCTAGGGAATTTTCACTTTTCCCCCCCGTGGGGGCTCCCCAACCAGGGAATTTTCACTTTTCCCCCCCGTGGGGGCTCCCCAAGCTAGAGAATTTTCACTTTTCCCCCCCGTGGGGGCTTCCCAAGCTAGGGAATTTTCACTTTTCCCCGCCGTGACAGCTTCCCAAGCTATGGAATTTTCACTTTTCCCTTCCTTGGAGGCTCTCCAAGCTGCGGAATTTCAAATAGCTAGACAACGACGCCTAGATAGTCCCCCAAATCCCGTGTTCTTTGAATGTGTTTCCATGTTTTTGCAATGGTTTCCTTCCAAGCACGGTACTTTACACTTTTGTCGCCATAAAACCGGTCGAAAACATCATGTTCGACAATGCTTCCAATTCCCTTATCTCCCCAACCGTTGAAAATACCGCTATTTACAGTGTTTTCTTCAATTTATCCATGTGCCAATGCCGGTAGCCAACTCCAACATATATATAAGAAATCCTTCCAAAACATGGTTTTTGACAGTGTTTTTCCAATGTTTCCAATCAAACAGACGGTAATTTACACGTTTTTTGCCATAAAGGCAGTAAATCCTTCCAAAACATTGCTTTTGACACTGCTTTTGTAATGTTTCCAGTCAAGCATACGGTAATTTACACGTTTTTTGCTATAACGTCAGTCCAAAACACTTGTTTTTGCAGTGTTTTCAATGCTCTGGCATCCAAAAACCCTGCAAAATCTTGCTATGTACAAGGTTTTTTTCATTTTTGGCCGTTTTTCCATTGCCAGAAAGCTACCAAAATGACCCAAAATTCCATTTCAATACCCTCTTGCGCTCAGACACCCAAAAATCCTCGAAAAATGTCGAAAACACCACCGTATTCTGGTCTCGGTGCGAAACCGTTTTTGGCCCCCCCCCCCAGCTAAAGCTGATATAGCGACTGCTATATTAACAAATGTCATTGAGCATTTAGTGTTGCTGTTTTGCCCCCCAATAAGCACGCCTTCACCGCCAAAGCGGTGTGGGCGGATTTACTAAAAACAAACAGTGGACCTGGGGTGGTTGGGTTGGGTTGGCTGTTCAATGCCCATACGAAAAACCAAAGCTGTTGAACGGTCAATGACCAGTCAGTGTAGACGAGTTTTGAGAAGGGATCATACTCAGACATTGACTCTTGTCAAATGTGGGGGTCGGACAATTTTAAGATGCTTTTCACTTGGTGTGTTCCTTTTCATGTCTTCACATCCACCAAGTTTGTTAACAGCGAGATGAACCAATGATGGTCAAGATGTATACCAAGGTTTCCCAATAGATGGTGGGTACCCCAATAACTGGATCGTTCATAATAGAAAATCCCCCATATAAAATGGATGAGAACTGGTGGTACCTCTATTTTGGTAAACCCAATTTTATACCATCTGGTTATTTGTTACATAGCCATGGAAAATCACCATTTTTAATAGGTAAACCATCTATAAATGGGTCATTTCCCATGGCTACGTTAAATAGCCAGAGGGTAATTATATGATTTCTATACTAAGTGGAATTCTCTCTGTCTATGGCTCTCTTGTACAAGACGTGGTTGGGGAACTGTATCTCGGAAGCTGAGCAGCTGAGGTTTGCCATTTGCGCCTGTCACGCTTTGTCGATGCCTCAGCCCTGCTGATCCGGAGTCGGTCAATGGAACTCCCCATTTTTTCAAGTTCGTTCTCAAAAAATGAAAAACATGGCTTTGAGAAGTTCAATCCTCATGCTGATCATGCTGAGGTTTTGCATGTACAATTTCTGGAATATGCAGATTCCCAGAATTGTCTTAGTGATCTACTTCATGGTGATGCTGAGCCCTTGCTGCGGTGGTGCTGGGTCAAGGGCAAGTGGTTGGGTGTGTTTCAGAAACAGCTGCAACATATGAAAGGCGCGATATCATGGACATGAGCCACATGATCAACAACATGTTTGAAGAACATCATTCTTTTGAATGTCTCTTCGTTGGGGACAGGCTTTAGATATTCCATGCTCCCTGCCCTTAGTCTGGGCAAGGAATGGCTTGATGCTCTACACAGACTTCCACTACCAGGTGGAAGGTGGCTGGGCACCAGATTCAGTCGATCGCCTTTCCAGTCCATTGTGATGTCATCGTGATCCGATTCTGCAGATTTCTGAGGTAAGAGTGAGGCCAAGGTACAGACTGTCCGCAAGGTGCGGTGCCGGACTGTTCCTTTGGTGCTTCTCCGGTGGGATGAATCACCGCAGTACATCCAGTAAATCTGAGGTGGAATTTGCCCAATGATTGGACTAACCATTGGACTAACCCTTGGACTATTGTTGAGCAGTACATATTAAAATATATTAGATATAGACATATTTTGTGATGGTCAAATTCTCCCAACGATCCGACCGGCTTCCATTTTGTTTTTTTTTTCGCTCATCGCCATCCGCGCAGCTGAGGTGAGTATAGCCTTTGACTCCAGCGGATGGATGTCGCCTGGTGTCACGGTGTCGGGTGTTTTTCGGATGTGGAAATGCTGCTTCCACCAGGCAAAATGGAGGTTTAATTATATAAGTGGGATGAATTGAGAATTGATATAAATCGGGCCTTTTTTGAACCACCGGAAATATATGAATGCAACCAATGAATACTGTATACATCTGTATACTAGACACGTACTTGTTCGAAAATGACAGATGAAGTGATGATGCCTATCGCACACATTGCTTTCGCTACGTTTTGATGCTAGGGGTCCTGTGAATTGCAACTATTATAGGATTTCGCTGTTGGAAATGTTTTTTCCCCACCTGCCAGGTGAGGGTTGTTAGATTTTATGTCAGTTGCCTCCTCCTCCTCCTGCTCCTCCTCCTCCGCCTCCTCCTGCCTCGTCCTCCTCCTCCTCGTCCTCCTTGTCATCCTTGTCGTCCTTGTCGTCCTCGTCGTCCTCGTCGTCCTTGCTCAACTGCGACCTGCGATCCACAGTGTTCTCTGCCGGACCTCAACCACGACCACCCACGCCCAGTGTTCCCTGCCGGACCTCAACCACGACCATCCACGCCCAGTGTTCCCTGCCGGACCTCAACCTCAACCACGGACCACGCCATCCGCCCAGTGTTCCCTGCCGGACCTCAACCGCGAGTATCCATGCCAAGTGTTCCCTGCCGGACCTCATGTAGGAAGATATGGGACAAAGAATGTGCAGAGAAGTTAGAAATATGTCAGAATATATGCCAGAAGATATGCCAGATAGAATGCCAGATAGAATGCCAGATAGAATGCCAGATAGAATGCCAGATGCCAGAATGCCAGAAGAATGATAGAATGCCAGAAGATATGCCAGATAGAATGCCAGATAGAATGTCAGAAAAGATGCCAGATAGAATTCAGAAGATATGCCAGATAGAATGCCAGAAGATATGCCAGATAGAATGCCAGAAGATATGTCAGAATATATGCCAGAAGATATGCCAGATAGAATGCCAGATAGAATGCCAGAAGATTTGCCAGATAGGATGCCAGAAGATATGCCGGATATAATGCCAGAAGATCTGCCATATAGAATGCCAGAAGATATGCCAGATAGAATGCCAGATAGAATGCCAGAAGATTTGCCCGATAGAATGCCAGAAAATATGCCAGAAGATATGCCAGATAGATATGTCAGAAGATATGCCAGAAGATATGCCAGAAGATATGCCAGAAGATATGTCAGAATATATGCCAGAAGATATGTCAGATATAATGCCAGAAGATATGTCAGAATATATGCCAGAAGATATGCCAGATAGAATGCCAGAAGATATGTCAGATAGAGTGCCAGAAGATATGCCAGATAGAATGCCAGAAGATTTGCCAGAATAGATATGCCAGAAGATATGCCAGATCATATGCCAGAAGATATGCCAGATAGAATGCCAAATAGAATGTCAGAAGATATGTCAGATAGAATGCCAGAAGATTTGCCAGCAAGAAAATGTATAAATGTCATGGTGGGGATCACACGAAGTAAAGTTTTTTTTTTTGAGAGAAGCTGTTCAGACATAGCATAGATCCAAGTAACAATTGGCACGTAGGGTTGTCTGCCTTTAGGTATTGCTATCACTTCGGTGTGGCTGCGTGGTTGCGAGAGCACATGATGCCTGAAGACCTTACCACAGAGGCAGGGACTGGGAGTGGTCAAGACGGAAGGAAAAGTGCTGACGAATAAGTGGGTTCCCAACAAGACTTCAGAATACCCATAATACCCAAAGTCTCTATTTTGGTGATTAAGATTGATTTTCTGTTTTAAAGACTTCAGAATACCCACAATACCCAAAGTCTCTATTTTGGTGATTAAGATTGATTTTCTGTTTTAAAGACTTCAGAATACCCATAATACTCAAAGTCTCTATTTTGGTGATTAAGATTGATTAAGTTTTAAAGACTTCAGAATACCCATAATACCCAAAGTCTCTATTTTGGTGATTAAGATTGATTTTCTGTTTTAAAGACTTCAGAATACCCATAATACCCAAAGTCTCTATTTTGGTGATTTTCTGTTTTAAAGACTTCAGAATACCCATAATACCCAAAGTCTCTATTTTGGTGATTAAGATTGATTTTCTGTTTTAAAGACTTCAGAATACCCATAATACCCAAAGTCTCTATTTTGGTGATTAAGATTGATTTTCTGTTTTATCTCTTTCAGGAAGTTCATCAGGACATCGATCGCAAATGGTCAACCCTGATGATAAGTCCCCAATTTGTGGGTTGTACATGGTCTATACCGCATAGTATGGTCACAAACTGGTTGCGATCTGTGGGAAGATCCTCCATTTTTTTTTTCTGATGGTTGTTCACAAGTTACGAACCCATCAAGCAGATATTTAGCCAGATTTTTCAGCACATCAAAACCATAGGAAGCAAACCATCGATAGGTTTATAAAACCACATCAAAACCACATCAAATCCTATGAAAATCAAATCAGATCAAAACCATAGGAAAACCATAGGAAACCAGATGAAAACCACATCGAGGCTGCCACCACGACGGCCTTCCCGGCATCCCTGACCTTCAGCGGTTCCAGCGGCGGCGCCTTAGTTGCCACGGCGCTGGGCACGGGGCTGCGGCCCAGGGAGATCTTTGAGATGGTGGTGAAGCCTCTTGGAGCCATCAAAATGCTGGGAAAATGCTGGGGAATACCCTCTGGTAATGACTGTTACATAGCTATTGAACATGGCCATTTATAGTGAGTTTTCCCATTAAAAATGGTGATGTCCCATAGTTATGTTAGTTTACCAGTTGCAATGTCACAATTAACATTCACATTGGTATAAAATACTATAATTTTTTTGAACATCAATAATATATTTTTTTAATGCTTAATTGAATCAAAATAATATTTATTGAGGGTATCAGGGGAAGCTCAGAAATGATGGAAAAATGCTGTAAAATATATGCTGGAAGGGATTTTTCAGGCATATTTCATGGGATGAATGGCATTCGCCATCAAAAATGATAGAATTCCTCGTGGTTTTGCTGGGAACATCCGTTTGGATCATGGGGAAATGATGGCAACTGCTGGAACTGGGATAAGCAGCAAAATTGCTGGAAACCTTCGGATAGGAATGGATACTCTGTTCAAATTGGGATATCCATATCCCAATGTGTCTGATATTTAGCACATATCCATATTCCCTCATTATCCCAATCAGTATGTTATCAAATTGGGATAACCTTCGAATGGGTCTGCTAAATTCTAAGAATGTATTTAAATTGGGTGCGTGATCATGAGGGATATCCATAATGAGGATAGGTAGGGGATGAAATGTGATGCTGAGGCCACCCGTGATGAAAGCAAAGGGAGTTCGCCAAAGAAATGCTTTGTGATTTGCCAAATTGATTTGCCTGTTCTGAAGCAAGAATGCTGGGGAGAAATTGCTGGTTTGTGCTTTTGGAGAGATGTCATTTCCAAGAATTGAGAGGATCCCAAGTGTTTGCAGTAACAAATGTTGCTGGACAAATCCCAGCGTTAAACCGTCCCAGGTTAGAGATCTCCAATGAGTTTTTTCGGGCCTAAAAACCCAACAAAGCTATGGAAAATCGCCATTTTACTGGCGGATCATCCCAACCAGCAAGTGGCCCAGTGGGTACCGAGGAAACAGCCAGAGTGCAAGTACAACCCCTTCCGCATGCTCCCCGCAGCTGAAGAAGTCTTGCAGAAGGCGCTCCATGGGGATGGTGAAAACCACAACTTGCGAATTGGACAATCACCAGTTTGAAATAGATAAATCGTATTAAATCATCTATAAATGGGCAATTTTCCATGTGTTAAACTACCAGAGGGTACCCTTTGGCAATGTAAAAAAAATGGACATTTTGCCCCAAAAAGGGATTTAGATGTGCACCCCCTGGTCATTTGACATGGCCAGGATGCTAGCTTTTGATGGGAATATATATATATATATGCATGTATGTATATATATATATATGATTATATATGTATATGTATATATAATTATATATATATATATAAGACGTTATATAATCGAACAACACGGATAATTTCCCAGCTAGCCAGGGATATCAAACCACCGGCCTAACTTGATTTGCAAAAAGCGGGACGAATCATCCCATGGCAAACATTTCCAGGTTAGGTTTTGGTTGTAGTTTGCTCAAGCACAAGGTATTTTTTACAACTCCTAATAAGACACGGGATTCACCGGAAGACGGAGAATGGGGAGTTGAGTTAACTCCTGCCATTTGTTTGTGGGATTATACAACACATCATTACTTGTTGCTCTTCAGATATATTGTCGTTTTCGATCCTGAGATGATGGTCCCGACCAACATTTTGTCAGATGGCGCATGCAACCAGTTATGTTCACATAGCCGCAGCCCACCGCACCGGAAGCATATATATATAGTTACGTGCCTTGCGATTCCTCACCCTTCCTATTCGTTTTGATTCCCACTTCCCTTTGGGTTAAATTTTGCGACACTACAATTATGTGCATGATGCATGCTCTTATCGTATACCAACTCTTGGGGCGCTCCGATTGTTGGCCCTGGTCTTCTCTTGACCTTCACGATATTCAGTCACCATAGTTTCAAATGCACTGACCCCACCACCAGAGTCCGGGGCTCTGTCATTATGGACCTCTGAGTTCATGCGAGAGTCAAGTCAAAAGATGGATTATACACTGACCCATATCCGGGAAGTCTATCAATATAGGGATTTATATCCACTGTGAGGATTCCAATCATGTGATAGATGACCGTTCCCCCGTATTCCATGTTTGGACCATGGCACATATAGCAAAGCAACCTTTCGTTGAAAGGGCAAGATCGCTGTGCAGGGTACTGAGCTGAATGCTGGGGTCCTGCCAACACAAGGTGCTTCGAGTTTTTCGAACCCCGAAGACGTAACCTCTGGTAAACAAACATAGCTATTGAAAAGCCATTTATAGTTGATTTACCCATTAAACATGGTGATTTTCCATAGCTATGTTAGTTTACCAGAGGGTACCCTGCAGCAAACATGGCAACGGGACATCCCCATGGAGGTTTCATGGGCTCATCTTTCCAGGCCTTGCCCGAGAACTCGCACGAGAGCTTGTCAGGGCGGGTGCGGATCCTGCTGACCCGGGTATCCCTGAAGTATCCCTTCTTCACTGCGGAAGTGGTCAACAAGTTCCTTGGATTTGCTTTTGATGATTTGGCAGTGTGTCAAAACCTGGTACCCCTAGTGAACATCAAAATAGCTGGTAAATGGATGTTCATCCCACTAAAAATGTATCTATAGGTATTGACACACTGCCATTTCTTCAATTTCCGGTTGGTAAATCCATCAGAAATGGAGTCAGCAAAATCCTGTAAGAATCACCAAGCCATTGAGGGTCCTTGGGAACTCCTTAGAAAAAACCCGCCCCCATTTTCTATTTCAATGTCCACCTATGTGGCGCAAAATCTAAGGTTCAGCAGCAAAGAATCGGTTTTCCACGCCTTGAGAGCTTCATGCCACGTTCCGAAGCTGGACCAAAATTGCAGGCACTGAACAGCTTGGTGTAGCTGCATAACCTGGGCCTGAAGATCACCTCACATGTTTTCAATATTGTATGATACTACATGTACGTATTGTATATTATACTGTTAATAATCTAATGTTATAGTATGTTATAGTGATATAGTATATATATAATTACATATATGTATACATTGTGATATAGTATTGTGTTATGACGTGATCTATGATAGTATGTAGAATATGTTACGACCAAGTTGTATCAAGAATCTGCTGCATCCGAATAGTTCGCACAGTGTCCTCTAACATCCCGAGGATTCTGGGTGGCTTTGGACCCTATCGCTATGATGGCCATGCCTACTTTGATGGCATGTTCTGGCCGCAGGTCCTGGTTCCCTGGAAAGGCCCAGCTGGGGCAGGAGCATTTTAGAATCCAGAGGCTTGACCCTTACCCCAATATCCTTCTAGAGTGATCCCAGTACATTATTAGGGTTTAGAATGGGTACCCCATTCTAGCCACTGGTAATCATCATGTTTACAAACTCTCCAGGAGGCACCTGGCTAAAATGGGTATGGGTCAATACCTATAGATACATTTTTAGTGGGATGAACATCCATTTACCAGCTATTTTGGGGTTCACTAGGTACCAGGGTTTTGATCCATCCCCAAATCTTTAATGAAAAAATCGCCATGGAATCCCCGGAATTTAAAACGAGGCACCGACAGCGACCTGGTGATCCGCGTGGCTGCGTTGCTGCGGAACCTCTCCAGTGACATCAAAGCGCCATCGGTGCCCACCTGGTGGTCGGCACCTCAGAAACGATCGTCACGAGACGGTCACGATGGTATCCACAACCGGTCTGGATGTAGGATGAGCTAAAACTCAAATTATTATAATTTATTGATATTGTATCCGTATTATTCCGTATTAATATTTACCTAAATGCAATATAAATGTAGTATAATCTAATCTACATAATCTAATCTAATCTCATGTAATCTAATGTAATGTAATGTATATAATGTAATGTAATGTGTAGATAGATGAGATAAGATGAGATTCGATTTGATTTGATTCGATTCGATTAGATAGATAAATACATATCATCATATCATTGTATCAACGTATGTATATATTTGTATATGCGTACATGTTTAAAAACATCCTACACACAGTGATACATGTTTCACACACACATATATATATACATACACATTCAGTAGACCAGGGATCATGTCAGTGGGACCCCATTGATGTGCCACCCCCATACACTTGGTGATCGTTGCATCGATATCCAGCTGTGCTCTTGATGATTGGATCCAGCAGTGGAACCATGTAGATAAAATAATGTATAATATAAACATAATCATCAACAGTATGGGTACATCATTAGAATCTGCAAACATTGCCGCATACACAGACATGTAGCATAGTCTACCAGCAACCATGGTCATGGGATAGCGCAATAGTGAGGTCAGACGAGTCCAGCGTTTTTTTCCACGGTCAAATTACCCTCTGGTAATGACTGTTACATAGCTATTGAAAATGGCCATTTATAGTGGATTTTCCCATTAAAAATGGTGATTTTCCATAGCTATGTTAAATTACCAGAGGGTAAAGATCCAAATCTACCTCTGGCAGCAGGACACCACCTGCCCAGAAAAATCGGATCTCACTCGTCAAAAAAGGCTGTGCCGCACCGCAGCCGAAGGTCCGTGTTTCCTCCTGAGGAGGACGTTCTACGAGGCCTCTACTGGCAAGGTCACTGGAACCCAATGTCACTGGGGATTTTCTTCGAGAAAAAAACGGTGGTTTGAAGCATCCATAATGGGGATTTAAGCAGCCAAAATTGGGATTTCACTGGGAATTGAATGGGATATCTATGGCATCTAAGGATGATGCCCCGTAATCCTCACAAACAGAGATTTAACAGTTTTGATGGCCGAAACTCACGAGTTTCCCTGTGGATGGAATGCTGTGCCATATGTTACCGCTCATCGGCAAGTGAGCAGTGACTGCAAGACACCCCTGGGTTGATGATTGTAGGGGGTTATACTATGAACATATCTTGGGGATTACCCTCTGGTAAACTAACATAACTATGGAAAATCACCATTTTCAATGGGAAAATCCACTACAAATGGCCATTTTCAATAGCTATGTAACAGTCATTACCAGAGGGTATCATCCATGAACTGGAAATCCCGTTCTGAACCAACCAGTAATTGTAGTGGACTGCGAAGCCCTTGAGGCTACAGCGATGCCGCACGATGGTTCACCCAGGGTCCTCAGAGTGCTTTTGATTGCATCTCTTGCAGAGCTTCCGTCCCTCGGTCCTGCAAGTGGCTGGACATTGGGGCTGGTAGATGACTGGATGATCCTCCGAGTTATTTCATTTACCCTCTGGTAATTTGTTACATAGCTATTGAAAATTGCCATTTATAGGTGATTTTCCCATTAAAAATGGTGATTTTTCCATAGCTATGTTAGTTTACCAGAGGGCAATTCCCACTAAACAGTGATGTCCCATTTCGGTGGTTCAATGATGTTCAAACAATGGATTGATTTGAGGGAATTTTTGCAGGAAACCATGTGTTTTTTCCGCATCAGATATAGGGTAAAACCCAAGTTCAGACCAATCCCAGTATGTCCAAGATCCCAATTTTAGATGGAACTACTGACTACCCGAAAATCAGGCTTAATCATCTTAATCTGAAATCCACTGGTTTATTGGTCTCGATTTCCCCTTTCTTGTGGTGAAAAGTCCGGACATCTCCAACCAACCTAAGGTTGCTCCGAGCGGCATGAGAAGGCGATCCTCCACCAAAGGCCGGTTTGTCAAAGAAGTCCAACTTATGGCAAAGACAATGAAGATGATGATTGTTGATATATTTTTTATAATCAATCCCAGTCAATGGTCAATGATACCCAGTCAATCCCCAGTCAGGGCTTTTAAATGTCACGGTTCTCCCAGGTCGCAAGGCCGAGGAGGACGAGGAACCCAAAGATGACCGACCTGCAGCACTGTACCTTGGGAGATGGACCGGCTGCATTTTTTGTGGCTGAACATGTGGTGGAAAACCTACAGAAATTGATGGTGAAGGACCAGTGAAGGATGGTGAAGGATTGTTTTTTCCCCTGAAAAATGAGATGAAATGGCTATGACATGGCTATTTGGGACTTTTTAGTTGGAAAAGCCTAAAAAGTTGATGGTGAATCATTTGAAATTTAAAATCATCATTTTCGCATGAAAAATGAAGATGACACAGCTATATAATAATGCAAGGTATGCCACATTTTCAGAAAGGCCCATTTGTTGTCTGAACATTTCAAGGAAAACCTCTGAATTTGGTGACTTAGAACATCACTTTCCATATGAACATTGCAATAAAGATTGGATAGTCACAATTTCTGGACTAAGCCATATCCTGGATGGTGGTTTCAAACCACCTGGATATTGATTCACCTATGTTCAGAAGTGACAGTTCATGGTCCTATGACTTGAGGAATAGTGACTTTCCACAAATTCAGTTTTTTTTTCAAACCAGGTTGAGATGATTCCAACTGGCTACAGCTTTTCTGGGGGTGAAGCCATTAACTTTTTTTTTTGCATATTTTGGGCGCATACTATATTTGTTATAATATATATTATTGGATCATGCGTAACACGCATATGTCACATCTTCAACACTACATTACAGTGCTTCGAAAATGTAGGACAGTTTCCGAGGGATCCATAAAAGTTGGCTCCAGGAGCACCAGAAACTTGATTGGTTGACCCATGGAAGTGCAACCCACAACGGCAACAGTAGAATCTGTTGCATGTAAAAAACAACTCATGCCTGTCTGGTTTGATAAATATTGGCTGAAATTGGTTTCTTCGGGGGAAGAAGTGTAACATACTGTAACTTGGCAGAGAAAGTACTTAAGTATCATTTTCAAATATCGAGATTCACAGGTGGTTCTTTCGGGGCATCTGTGTATAGGAGTTGCATCCCGGTTTGGGTCCTGGGTCGCCGCACTGCAGGTTGGAGGTTCAAAAACTGCTGTTGAAAAAACCTGCAGACGAAGCACTTCCGGAGTCAGATCCACTGACAGGAGCCATGGAGTGCAGGTTGTGAGGTCAAAGTGGAGTTGCTAGAAGCTGCGGGTCCTGAGTCCTGGGCTCCGATAGTGATGTTCTAGTAATTCTATAATAATCTATAAACTTACGGTAGATCAGTATATTCATTATAGCACATTGTAATATGATATAATATGTATCATATATTTCACTATAGATTCTATAGATAGATCTACCATATTTATAAAATATCTACCATACCAGTTAGCCTATAATTAGTTATTTGCCCCAACTTAGCTATCAGCTATCCCATTAAAAATCCCCATTGGAAGACGTAAAAACATGGCTGCCATGGCTTCTGCCATGGCTTCTGCCAGGACGATCGCCTTTGGAGTACATTGCCATCATGGAGGAAACGATGCGCTGGCAGAAGAAGTGGCTGTGGATTGTGCTCTTTGGCTAAACAGCAACGGTGGATGCGGATGCCCGAAACGGAAGCCATGGGAGATCTTTGTTAATGGCTAAGTTGGTGAACATTTGCTCAGGTGAATTCTATGGTTTTTCGCGGTAGATACCAAACATCACTGGGGGCACGAAATGCTGCATCCAAAAAAAGCCGCTCTGCGGAAAATTGGAAAATAGCAGAACTCCTTGTGTTTTCTGGATCGTTGGGCAAATCTGAGAAATCTTTAGGGAATTCGAATAAAATGCAACCAGAAACTATCGATTTAAATCGCTTCGGGGTTGAACAAGGATCCAGTTTTCCTATACCCCATTGCTTTGAAGAGGAAGCCTTTGGATTTTGACGAAGCCCCTTTCTTTTGAGAAGATTCGAAGATGCATTGGTTTCCCCTGGATCTTCGAACCCAAGCCCAGATTTTTCGATTTTCAGGTCAGGGATCTCGATCTTTCTCATTTTCCTGTGGATCCTCTTCGGCTGGTTCTGACACAGATGTGACGCATGTGAGGTGCCCAGGGCCAGGGTGGTGAATTTATGTTAATTTACATCCTACAAGTTGTTGTTGCCCAGAATCTCAAGCTCTATCTCTACCCTACATGACTCTGGGAACCTTCCTTACTTATCTTAAATCGCCCTCTAGCGAGGCTGACCATAGCAGAACCAGGTCGAATCCTTACCCCAGAGCACTTTGAGTCGACTCTCATCAGAAAGTCATCGATCTGGCTTCGTCAAAAAATGGGAACACCCCAGTCTTCACCCCAAAAAATCATGTGTTTTCTCATGTTTTCTCCCAAAAAAGCGAAATATCTTGGGGTCAATCGGCACATGCCGCCACTTCCAGAGCCAGACGCGTTTCAACCATGGCCATCCAAAGTCCTCACGTCGCCCAGCGTCGCCCAGCGCATCGCAATCGCCTCGTTCCTGGCGCGATTGACATGTGACGCAAACAGACCATTGGAACATCAATGATTAAAAGGAGTCCCAACTAAGACAAGCACTGGAAAATCATATACAGTACCCCAAAATAGCCAAAATTTGGGATTTAATTAGATACATGATACATGCAAAAAATGACAATTATCCCTTTCCGTTGGCAAAGAGTAGAGTCTGGTATGAATGATAGAAGTTCTTTTTGCGAGTATGTAGAAGCTGGGTACTGTACCCTCCCGAACTGATTGCAAGCATGACTTGACATGTCTCAAAATACAGTATTTTGTATGATTCTTTGTCTCATGAGTGGGAAGCACGTGGATTTGGGGTGGGGTTCTAGGTTTCAGGTTGATCCATTTTTTGAAGTCTCAACTCTTACCAAACCAATTGTGAATTTTCCATAGTTGCTTATTGCTAACGATTTGTTCAGAGCCAGAAGCGAAGGCAGCCACGTACTGTACACCCTTAGCTCCGCAAACAAAAAGAAAGGCCGATGGTGGGTTTATTTGGTTGCTTTGGGTATACAGTACAATTATATAATATTATAATATTATATACACATCATTGCACATATATTATGGCCGATTCTCATTTTTTTCCATATTTTGTGGGAGTATGTGGGAGTCCAAACAACGACAACCACCCAGCTTGGGGCCTCTGATGGGACTGAGGCAATCGATCCGCATCTTGCCATTGACGATTAAATTGAGTATAATACATTATAATGTCAACTGTCAATGGCAATACGGTTAATGAATGTGAATGAGTGTTAATGAGTTGATTCATTTGAATAATATTAATGATATGTAATGGTTATGATCCTCATTTGTCATCCTCTTGGCATTTATCATCACTACCATCCGTTGCTGTTTGGCCCACAGCCAGTAATGTGTGTCAAGGGCAGCCGCTTGGGCCTCGGGGAAAAAATCGCTGCCAGTTTCCCATGTTTGGATAAGTCTAAATCCGAAGCTGTCCACGTTTCATCACTTAAAATTCCTATGAACAACTTATAGAATCATCAGGATTCGATGTTTTGGTTTGAAAAAAATGGGCGGATGCAACGTTTGGTGCAGATGAGGTCATGCAGACATTTTCTCAAGGCGCTGCAACATGACCTGGCTTGGGAATTTTCCATAAATGGGGGTACTCCAAAATGGATGGTTTATTCATGGAACATCCGAAAATCACATGGATGATGGACAGGGGGTACCCCAATGACTTTGGAAACCTCCACTGTCACAAGCAGAGTTTTCGGGTGATAAAAAGTTTGGTAAAAGCTTAGTACTACAAAGTAAGTTTGCTCATTTTATAAACATAAGTTGGGTATTCTCTTGGTAAGTACTTATCAGCAATCTCGTTTTTGGGAAAATACCAGCAATTTTTCAGCCAAGGCCATATGTTTTTTTGTAAGTTGTAGCAACAGTCGTTGCTGAATTGATCTTTAGGATTCCTACAGCGGTTTTCCATCCGTTTCCCTCAGACGATAGATCATTTTGGTGGATTTGAAGGGTCCTGCTGCAACATAACCCAAGCAAAATGGATATTCCATGATATTCCAATCCAGGTAGCAGACTTCTGGGGCCGGATCCGACCGCAGGTCCCGTGTTCATGACCTATGGTCAGGCAGTGCAAAGGGATGCCAAGGGTTTCTGGTGTGAAACGAAGCCTCTAAGGGTCAGCTGAAGGTCTGAAGTGAGCACACGGCGAAAAGAGACGCACTTTTCGTAGCAGGGAAAACCTGGGACTAGAGCACTGGTACCCACTGGTACCACAGCTGACTTTGGGTCTTAGCAATGTCAGGACCCAATGGGTCATGGAGTAAGCCTCTACTGAGTATGCCACTGAACACTGCGAAGATACTCCATGATACTCCAGGAAGATTCATGTAAACATATCAGATCAAAGGCAGCGAATGGAGATGATGGGATTCATGTGCCGCATGGTGTGTTGAACGGCGTGTGTACACAGAAGGGATACAGACGCTTCACGATTAAGGAAGTGATGTCAGAAAACAAACAGCAAAATGGTGCCAGAAACTTGAAGACCATTGCCCCTTTGTGTTCACTGTGCCCATCCCGTCTCTCAACGTCTCTCAACGTCTCTCAACGTGTCCAGGTTGTTCAAAAGGGTACCAGCCAGGCGCAAAGGGTTGGATGGGGGTCATGCATTGGTTGGTCATCATTGGGCATCTTTGACAAATTGGACCGGCCATATCCCGGCAATGACTTGATGGATTCTCAGTTCCTAGCAACTATATCGGCACATATCCTTGATATTGTACATGTATTGTATATAAACTATATATATATATAAACCATATATATATATATATACTTGCCAATATATTTCAGTACTCAGTAGTCCCCATAGTATCACTACATCTTCGTATCCAGCCAGGTTTCAACATTGCTGGATGTGGCCGCCAGATTGAAGGCCACCCGGCGATGTCCCGATGCTGTATGATGTCGTACGCATATTGTATATATATATATATAACATATATAGCATTTTCTACACATGTATATTATATACATGCATATAATATATGATATGCATATATATATATATATTATACATATTATATAGATATATTACAATTATATATATAATCATTATTATTACCCTCTGGTAAATTAACATAGACCTCCCAAAATAGCAATTGTTAACCGCCAGGCCTCGGGCGACTGGCGAGGAGCTGCCGAGAAATTCTTCGAGGTACTGAGGCACCGGGAACGCGGAACGCTAAAGCCATGGGCCATGGGAAAAGCCATGGAAAATGCTGGGGAAATCTGGGAAAATCCCAGGAAAACCCTGGGAAAATCTGGGAAATGGGGGAAAAACACTGGAAAACCTTGGATTTTTTTGGGGGATTCTTATGAATTTGACACGAACCACTTGATCATGAGGATATTTTACGGGAATTATTACCATCGAATATCAATTCATTTTGGGGGGCCTAATATAGCGGATATAATATTGTTGGGAAGGTATGATTACGCACAAACCCCCTCTTTCGCCCACACACAACTTTTGCAGTTTCTAGGGAATCGTTAAATCCCCACCCCGCTAAATTTCATATTCAAGGGAATCTTCAAGAGAGTTTCTAGGGAATCATTAAATCCCCACCCCCGTGATGGTGATGGTGATGATGGTGATGATGGTGATGATGGTGATGATGGTGATGATGGTGATGATGATGATGGTGATGCTGATGCTGATGCTGATGCTGATGGTGCTGCTGCTGCTGATGATGATGTTGTTGTTGTTGTTGATGATGATGATGACGATGACGATGACGATGACGGAGACGGTGACGGTGATGGTGATGATGATGGTGGTGATGATGATGGTGATGATGATTATGTTGATTATGTTGATGTTGTGGGAACGGAGGGTAAGAACCTATATGTTGATGTAGATTATGTAACATTCAACGCACAGGTAGCTAAACTGCACATTGCAAGATGACAGCCATGATCCGGGACATAGGCATTTTGTCCCACGAAACACAGTGTTGTTTGATGTTCGGACACGTGGTGGGCGTCGGCGCGTGCAAGAGAGGGGGTTTGCCCGTATGATTACTAAGAACAGATTGCCCAAGATTAACCATCAACATCAGGTTGAATGAACATTTTTTTTTCATTAAGGGGTTTGAATGAACAATTTCTTGTGATATATCATTATATCACCATCAAACAAGTGGGTGCTATAAACCCGTGAGATTGGCCACGCGCTTTGGCTTCACTGGATGTTTATCCCATGAACCCATGGCATCCCATGGCCATCTCCCACATGGCCATGAACCCCCTGACCCACAAAAGTCGCGGCAGTTTGGAACCGGACAACATCTCCAGTCACCAAAATCTTGGCACACTCTACCTGGCTGTCAGGCACTCAAAATTGAGCTTAAGGTGATTATTGATATTTGTTGTGAATTGCGGCTTGAGTTTTCTTGCCAGTGGGGAAAGTATCAGAATATCACGCACCCAAAAACTAGTCGTTTGATTGGGTCTCGGAGATCAGCCTACACGGAAGCGCGGCAAGAAGAGTGTCGAGAGATGTGAAACTGAAAGGCAAAGCATCACAAGTCCTGCGGCCAA